CCCTCTTCTCCAGCCCAGACGGGCAGCGTTCCTTCTGGGAAGGGCCCTCCACCATCGGAAACCTGTCTGCTGAGGGAAGTGGCCTCCAGCCTGGCTGGCAGCGTTGTCAGCCAGAGCTGGATTCAAGCCATCCCGCTGCCTCCTGGTGGTTGTGCGGCCTTGAACAGGTCACCCTACCTCCCTGGACCGGCCCTGCTTCCTGGACTGAGTGGGAATTACAGATTTGCCTTGTGGCGTTGTTGGAGCGAAATGAGTTCGCGCAGGTAAACGCAGGTAAACACAAAGTCCAGCTCAAAGCTTAGGTTAGTGGGAGAACCGGGAGCCTGTGATTCCCAAGGGCCCTCGGGGTGCCTACTGGCACTGAGGCGCTCTGGGTCCCCCCTGCTCCCTACTGGGAGGTTACCACTGCAGTCTCTGGGATCCAGAGACAAAGCTTAAGGACACACCCGCAGCGACACCCCACCCCCAAAGCCTTCCCTCCCTGAGGCAGGCCAAGCATACCTGACAGGCAGGGGACGGGGCTGGACGCTCGGAGTGATTCTGTCGGAGCCCTGGAAAGAGAGAGGGGACAGGAGGCATTATGGAGGGGCAGTCAGGGTGGTGTGGCGGGCATGGCCAAGAGCTGTCCGCCTCCTAGTCTCCCTTCTCGGCCAGCATTCCATCCCAGGGACCCTCAGATCCCAGCACCACAGTCACCCAGACCCAAAACCGTGTCAGAGCTGCTGGGGCACGCCTGCATGCGGGTGGATGGACCCCAAGGGACGGTCCTTCCTGCCCCCGGTGCCTAGAACGAACCCCACCTGAGCTAGACAATCATCTACACCAAGGACTCGCTCAATCAACAGCTGCCGACCCGCATTCACCTCAAGGCCCAGGCCCAGCAAAACAGTAGCCCACATAGCAGACACCGGGACCATGGAAGAGGAGGAAGGCGAGAAGGCCGGTGCACCTCTGCCCCATCTGAATCCGTGTGTGCCTACCACCACTGTCCTACCCTCCCTCCCCTTTAAGGAAGCAATGCCAAGTGGTGCCATCAGACGTCTGGGAGGGAAGAGACGGGCAGGCGTGGAACACGGGCCCAAGGCAGGGCTGCTGCAGCCAGCAAGAGTGGCTCCCACGGAGGCTCCGCTCTTGGCCTGTCTTCCCTCTCAGCCCTGCCATTGGCAGAGCTGACAACGCAGACACAATTAGGGAAAAGTGACCCAACAGAAGTCCTCAGGGCCTCTGTGCCACCAGGCCCCAGGGCTGCAGGCTGCCATGCCAGCGGGGCAAGCTCAGGCCAGGACTCTCCAACTGCACACTGGATGCTGGATCCCCCGGGGCAGCCTCTCGGGCCTCCAGC